GGGATATGTGGGGATTATAGCCGATAATGGAGAATCACATGGAAAAGAACATGGAACATGAAATGGAATCTGGGGATGGAGAATCCAATGGAAAAGAACATGGTAAAAGACATAGAAACTGCTTTTTTTTGAGGGTTAAGGCTAAGGGTTATATACGGATTATATGAGCTGTAATCTAAACTTCTTAAAGAGGGTTACATAGGGGATTACATAGGGCAGCATGGTAGGGGGTTATTGAGGAGGATACTAGGAGTTTAGATTGTAGCTCACATGCAAACTACCCACCAAAGCTAGGTACCAAGCTTGGGGAGAAGGAGCTGTTGGTTCTACCAAGGACCCTTCAAAAAGTTATAGTCCCCCTCAAGTAGATAGAAAATGGGGAAAATTGTGATCTTAGTATAAGTAGAATCCCCCAATCTAGAATGCGATCATATATTGGGTTTGATATGATAAAGAGCCCCAGTTTCTATCTGCTTAAGGGAAACTATACACGGGATCCTGTACCAAGGGGAATGCTACATGGTTGGGGTCCCAGGACATGCGCCCCAAACCAGCTGCACCCTCTCTTGGCAGGAGCTGTACCGACACAGGAGCTATAGCCTAAACTCCTTGGGGGGTTGGTTCCATGGGAGGTTATATGGGGGACTACTATAGGGCCTATTGAAAGCGATGCTAGGAGTTCAGACTGTAGCTCACATGCAGTGATGTATTTGTGTCCAAATAGAACAACCTTCTGCTTCAGGTTTCTGAAAGACCCTTAACCCCTAAATCCTAAACCCCTTAACGCCTAAACCCTAAACCCCTAAACCCCCGAACCCTAAACCCCTAAACCCCCAAACCTTAAACCCCCTCACCCTAAACCCCTAAACCGCAGAGTCTCACCGCCCCTGGCTCCTGAATCCGGCTCCATGAGGCTCCTCCAATTATGGGGACAATGGAAATGAAAATGGAAACTATTATAAAGGGGTTATATAGGGTTTAGGGTTTAGGGCCAGGGTTTAGGGCTTAGGGTTTAGGGTTTAGGGGTTTAGGGCTTAGGGCTTGGGATGATGGAAAAGAAAATGGAAACTACTGTAAAATCTTCGGGTGCTATATAGCGACAATGGATAAGAAAATGGAAGCTACTATATGGATATTTGGGTGATATATAGAGATGATGGAAAAGAAAATGGAAGCTACTCTAGAGCATATTGTTATATAAGAGGCTTTTGTTTTCTAGTAACTCCACCAACATCTCCATTCCCACGTTTAGCTTTTGTCATCGGAAATCTGATTGCAGACACCTATTGTAACAGTTTAAAATACAATCCCTCAAATTTGAGAGGAGCTGAAACCATGGAGGCATTCGGTATGTTAGGGTCTAGGGTTTAGGGTTTAGAAACCCTACATCCTGAACCCTGAACCCAAGATCCTACATCCTGAGCCATAAGCAATGAGCCCTAAACTTTAAACCCCAAGCCGTAAGCCGTTGGCCAGTAGGATCACTGCCAAGGCGTGGTGGCCTCTCAGGAAGGCTTCACCACAGCCTCTCGTCATTGAAATTCTACTTGAGCTACTGTCAAGATCAGGTTTCCTAAGGGGCCATTTAAGGGTTCAGGGGATAGTAAGAACCCTGAACCTTAAGTGCGTAGGTTAGGATTTAGGAATCCAGGGTTCAGGGTCACGAAGAGACCCTGTAGGAGTGGATATAGGGGTCCCCTTTGGTAGCTGGTAGTTTAATATAGGCGCCTGATATATTCCCTAAAGGAAGCCATGCCCATTAACTAGACACGGCAAACCTTGACTGAAGGTTACTTGAACGTCCATGGGCAGTCATTCAAAGAGCTTTGCGAGTGGGATAACTGGCTTATAACCTAGATCTGGGGGACATGGCCCAGCTTATAGCCACTCATGAGCGCTTCAAGGCCTTCGAAGGAATTGAGTGACAGGAGAAAGAGGCTTCGGCGCCTATTAGGTATGTAGAGTTTGGTTTTGATTTTCAGAGGGAATGCGGAAGGTGTAGGGCACATCGAGCGGAATATGCAGTTACCATAGAGATCCGCAGAGATTGTGCCGGGGTTTCTAAAACTATGAGCCTATGTCAGCTGCCAATTGTGTGGATCATGTTCCGTCTGCGTGGCGGTAGAAGCGGATGCGAATATTCAAGAACAGCCAGATGCCAGACGGGTTTAGGCTTGTTTAGGCTTCAGGGCTTTAGGGGCCAAGGTGATTCGAACATCTGCAGCCATGTCGTGTCCAGGTGGAAAACCCCCCAAACCTGGCGCGGACCCTTGGTCTCTGCCATGGGCCATGTCCTTATTCCTATATCCTTGCTCCTATTCAATGGCATTGTAGCCATTGCCGCAGTGGAGTCCGCTTGCGTAGAAGACAGCTCGGGGAGCTTCCTCCTGCAGAAAGCGGCCGCGAGGAGGGCCCCTACTGTTGTCAAAAACAAGACGGAGGAGCCTCAGGTTCAGCCGGAAAAGGGAGTCTGCGTGGCAAGAGATGACATTGACAAAACCATTCCCATTGAGGATGTGTTGAAGCAGTATCCGGGCCAAGACGGCTGGTGTGTCTATGGTTCCTTTGGACCCTGGGCGAGAGAATGCGCAGTTGCCAGGCAAAAAGGCGACGTCCTGGCATTCTCAAAGGTGTACAGCCCGATTTATTCCTATATCTTGACTGGCCCAAATGCCACACAGAAGACATACAGAATGCCAAGCGGACAGCCACTGACAACGCGCGATCACTACTTCCCACTGGATGATGTCTACTGCTTCATAAATGGCTGGTACGATCTTGATCGGCAAAAGCTCATCAACAATTACACCTACTTGGAACAGGTCTCAGAGGCATATTGCCAATCCTTGGAAGCAACGCTGCCCTACTACCACCGACTGTCCATGAAGAGCATGGATGTTGAGGCTGGGCTAGACGAGTGGAGCTTCAATCATTTGACAAATCTCCCCCAGTCAGTCATCACAGGAATGAAGGTTCATGGTGCTGTCAAGTGCCTACTGGGTGGGGGGAAGGGTGCAGTCTGTGATCTCGCCAATTGTGCGAGGCGAGCTTGCCTCCTTGCTGATGGGAGCTTGGGGTATGATGCCCGTGGTGAGTGTCCACCAGTGTAGCCGGAGAACAAAAGTCTCAACCCGCCGCCCAAGCATGCCGAAGCTATGTGGGGGTTGTTCTAAAGATTCTGTCCATTGGGAATAAAGAAGTTCCTCAAAGGGGGGGTCCCAACCAACACGAACCTTCCATATGGTCACTTTATGCAAAGGTGTTTTGAACAGCTAATGCGCATCCATGTTTTTGGTAAACAGCTGGTCAAGCACTCATGGAAGCCTTTCATGGACAAAGTAACCCTAAACCCTAAACGATTAGAAGCTGCATCCCAGGTAATCCATGCATCGAAGACTCTGGCCCACGGTGAGACTGAGATTGGCAGCTGCGACCAGGCGGGGTGAGCGGTTCCTTTGATCTTAATGGGTTTAGGGTTTAGTTTAGGGTATGATATTGGTAGTTTCCCGCAATAGAGGAACCCCAATATAGAGCCCAAAGTATTGTAACCCCAATCACATGGACCCGCAAAATGGTACTCCTAATGTTCGAAAACCCCGCATAGTGTGTTGTTGTATCCACCAGGGAACGAGACTCCGCCGCAGGCTGTCCTTGCGCCCCTTGGGTAGCTTTCAAAACAGAGTTCCAGAAAATGCAGTTTCGGGTTTAGGGTCTGGTCTGCTGTCGGAATGGGTAAAGTGACATTGGTGACAAGGTTTCTTAGAGTCCCACGGCAGCTGCCTTTCGCTTGAGAAATTAAGCTGCCCGGAGTGAACTGGACAATCAAACAGGGACCTTTCGTAAAGCCCTACAGATCTCCATGGCCTACATATGTATCCCTCTGCACATGTACGATATTATTGTACTCCTATGTGACCCCAGTATAAACCTTAGAATACCCCCCCATATATCCGAATATTAATCCTAAACCCTACTGCAGGTGCTTCCATATTCTTGGACTGGCCAATTTGTGGGTACCTGCACGGATGGCGTGCTGGGTCTGCTCCTGAGCTTGCTGCTTCTTAGTAGGGAATCAGGGAAATATTTCATAGGGTTATACATAGGGGGTTATATAGGGATTATTGGAAAGAACATGGAGACTACTACAGTATAGCAGGAAATAAGGGAATATACTATATACTATATAGGGAGTATATGGAGATTGTATTCCCTTACTAGTAAGACAGGTTCCTGAGCAGCTACTGCCACAGATGGCAAAATCAACTAAAGGCAGGTTGCTAGAGTTGACATAGACTTCTAATGACAACAGCTTAAATGATGATCCTGTTGAATCTGCATCAACCCTAAACCCTAAACCCTGTAGCTCCGGCGAGCTCTTGGTTTCCCCCCTCCCCAGCCCCCTGCGTGATTCGCAGCGAGTCTTAGCAGGCTTGCATAAGGGTTGGGGACGCATCTGTGGCAAGCTGCTCACATGAATTTGCAGGAGTGGTTGGATTGGGAAATATTTGGGTTATATTGGGAGAGGAAAATAAAGTGGAAACTATAGGGATTATAGGGTACATATTGGGGTAATATTAGGGTTGCATGGCCCAATGCCTGTCGTCTGCCCAAATTCCTCCAGCGAAGCTTGTCGGGCTAGAGTAATGCCAAAAACCTCGAAAACGCCCAAAGTTCCACACGGTTGCCTAACCCCTTAGTAGCTGGGTAGGTAACCTTTAACCTTTTGGGGTTAACCTTTTTGGGGCCAGGGAACTCAGCAACTAGGACCCTAACCCCCCACAGAAAAAAGTTGGGCTCCAAAAGGCGTTGACCTCAGCAACTGCCAGCCTGTGCCTCAGAGATTTAGGGTTCCCAAATTAAGGCTTTAGGGTTTAGAGTTAGGGGAGATTTGGGTCTATCTAGGGGATCCCCCTTTCCCAAAATTAAGGGTGTAGGATTTCGAGTTTAGGGGAGATTTGGGATCTAGATTGGGGGTCCCCCTACTTTGGGAGACTGCCATTTCTTGCCTGCCGCAATCCAGGCTTAGGAGGCTCTGACTGTAAAGCGTGGGCACCCAGTAGCCATCTGTATCAGGGGTCATGTTCAGGGCTTCATACAAGCTACTGTGAGTATTAGGCTTACCTATGTACCATTAAGGCTAGGCATAGGGGTCCCTCGGAAATGTCCCTAAAATATCCCTTAACGATATATGAAGTGTTACTCACCTATTCACAATGTGCATAGACCCCAACTGTTCCTATGTGGGGGCAGTATCCAATCTACAGCATGTTTAGCGACACGGCAGTTGTGACTCTCCCTTGTAATCCTTACATATGACTGTAGTATATCTTACCCCTACGGCCATGCTCTAATTATTCCGGCCCCCACCCTTCCTAAGGTTCCAAATATCCAATGATATATACTTCCTCAAAACCTTTTCTTGCGTACAATAAGCCCCAAACCTTGGGTACTGCCCCCCCCCCCAGTAACAGTTGGATAGAAATTATAATGGTTATATATTGCCCTTAATAGGACCCCTAATATAGACTGTTACTGGGTGGGGGCAGTACCGTTACGGCTACAGTTCCGTTGAAGAACCTCGGAGGCCCGGCGCATGCTTGGCGTCTTCGACAGCTCAAGTGCAGGCGAGGGCTTCTGTGACTATCAGGTTTATAGGGATGAAGAGCTTAGAGTTCAGGGAGAGTAATGGAAAATGGAATATGACATGCAAACCTGGAATGTACAGGGATATGGTTTAGAGTTCAAGGTTGAGTGCTAGTAGGGGATGGTGGACTTCATCCTCGATGTTGCCTTTATGTGTGTAAGCTTCAATAGCACGTGTTGTAGCTTCCTCTTCCTCAATTCCCTAATAACCAGCAGGTTTTGGCTTCTGAAGTTTCAGGAACTGAAGCTTCATGGTGTTCATCATGACTGCCACTTCTTGAAACTGGGGGGGTCCCGGCCCTAGACCCTAAACCCTAGGGATTCGGTAGGACCTCCTTTCTTCCTGGTCAGATCGGTGGCAAAAACCACACTCTGACGGTGACAGCGGAGAAGCAGCGTCCGGGGGCTCAGAATGTCAGAGCTGCCCAAGTGCTATCACAAGCTAGGCATGCGCGCTTTCAGATTTTAGCTACCATTTAGGGGCTTTGGATTCTTGCTCGGGCTGGCGACTCATCAGAATCAGCTGCACTCCTACATACGTTGTGATGGAGTGGTGTCATGTTTGCACCAGCATAGCACTTGCCTCTGCTTTGGCAATGCATGGTGTGGCCGGGCCCAGCACAGTCTACCATTCGGCATCAGCAGCTACCAAATGAATTCTTGCACACACTGGACTAGTGAATGGCTAAATTCTGCCTGTATTTCCGCCTGTTATACCGACGCTGCTTACGATCCTGGAGAACCATCGAAGGTAGTAGCTTCCAATGCAGCTGCCAACATGTGGCTCATGCATCAAGCCTGAAGGATTGCTTTTCCTGTTTATTCCGGACTTCGCAGATCTGGATCGTTGTCAAAATCAGGCATCCTTTGCGCGGGAAATTGTTCCAAGATGGCCCGTTTTCTTCTAGACCAGGAGTTGAAGCAACTTGCTGCCTGGGTCTGGGTATCTCACATCTGACGCTTCGAATTGTTTTGCAGCGGCCTCGCAAGGCAGAGCCAAGGTTTATGGGAAATGGTGGGCTTGTAAGAGAGTCCACTATTCGCAAATTGGAGCGCGAAGGCCCACCATACCCAAGCATGAGTAAGGCCAACCAAATGTCCAAAAAGCAGGAACCAGAACCCCTACATGCCTGGTTGGCCCATAAGATGTGATGCCCAGATGGCGCAGAGTGGACTAGCCTGTGTTCAGACTACGACTCCGAGTGAGCCCGGTGAAAGAGGAAGAGCTTAGGAGTCAGGGACGGAAATGAAGGGCTGCAGTCAGCAAATTTTGCTATGCTCGGCCGCTTCGTTTTGGCCTGCTTGCGTAGCTTTGCGAGTCCCACGAATAGTTGTAGAAAGTATAATGGTACGACTCCTGATGTCCCAACACTCATAAATATCACTGCGGAGCTCATTTCTTGAGAATCCTGCTGAGATAACCATCATCATAGTGTGCTGCTTTTACTGCTACTACTACTTCTACTACTTTTACCGTTATTATTACTGCTACTACTACTGCTACTACTGCTACTATTGCTACTACCACCACTACCACTACCACTACCACTACCACTACCACTACCACCGCCACTACCACTACCACCACCTGCACCGCTGCTACTACTGCGGCGGCCGCTGTACCAATGACGATTTAAATGTTCTGCCCGCAACACCAGATATATTTGTATATCAGTTTTTCAGAAGATTCGTTCATTTTCTGCAGTAGGGACCCCCATAATCCCCTCCATGCCCAGATTTTCCAAGGGCTTCCTAATTTGAGAGGCCTCTAGACACTGTAGAAGCCTAAACAAGTGGCATTACGACTCCCCTTCTAGAAGTGTAGTATAAGTAGGTAAAATAATAGCCCAAAACATTTGAAAATAGTCCAAAGGGCAATTATTTTACATAATTTCGTGGGTTCAGGTCTACACTACCTGCCAGGTACGAGGGCGGCGTGACCCTGTCGTGCAGCTTCGGCGCCGTCGCCTCCGACGCCAGTGGCTGCGTTGAGCGCGGCTGCGACGAGTCCAAGAGGAGCCCACGGCAGATTGCGTAGGCGTCTGTGGAATTAGAAAAGAGTTTGCGGTACATTATGCTTTTCAGTGTCAATATGTGAGGGTTGCTAGGGAATAGCATGATGTACTCAGGCTTCTGCATTTGGCGCTTGGGGGCGTCCGTTCCAAAAAAATCGGGTTCCCTCCATGGGAGTCCTCATGGCCAGGATGAAAGTATGATGCTGGGCCTTGCGAGGGAACCCCATTTTTTGGGAACTGCGCGTGATAGAGGGGGCTCCGTCTCTTAACGGTGTTTGCACGATTTGCGTCGAGAGTTTGCCATAGGATGTCATAACAGCAGCAGTACTTGCAAGACTTGGAAACCATGCAGTCCGCTTCAGTAAGCACGAATGCGTGACAGCCAGCTAGAGCTACCTTAGGCACCAGCTTCTTTCCAAAGACTTTCCCTTTAACTGCAGCGCGGAGAATGC